GACTATTTGTCACTTGCGAAATTTGCTTATAATAACAGCTTTCACTCTAGCATCGGTATGGCACCATACGAGGCTTTGTATGGTAGAAGGTGTAGATCACCAAGTTGCTGGACAGAGGTCGGGGATAGAGCTTTACTTGGGCCTGAAATTGTGCAAGATACTTCTGAGAAAATCAAAACTATTCGGCAAAGGCTCAAAACAGCTCAAGACCGACAAAAGAACTATGCAGATATTCGAAGAAGACCTCTTGAGTATGAGGTCGGTGACCACGTGTTTATCCTTGTGTCCCCAATGAAAAGCCAAGTTAGGTTTGGAAAGAAGGGCAAGTTGTCGCCCCATTACTTTGGGCCGTTTCAGATTTTGGAAAGGCTTGGTCCAGTTGCTTATAGAGTTGCTTTGCCACCAGGATTCGAACAAATTCATAATGTGTTTCACGTGTCGTTGTTGACGGGTTACCTCCGAGACCCGTTTCATGTGATTGATTATCACCGGGTAGCTATTAATAAAAATATGGAATACGCCGAATGGCCGGAACGAATCGTTGACCGACAAGTGAAAACTCTGAGAAGCAAGTCCATCCTAATGGTGAAAGTGGAATGGAAAGAACACTATGGGACGGATGCCACGTGGGAAAAGAAGGATGAAATGCGACTACGCTACCCACATTTGTTTCCCGACGAAGGTAAATTAAGTTTGGAGAACCAAACTTCCTAAAGGGGGGAAGACTGTAATATCCTTGTTTTGTAATATGCTAATTGGTCCTTAACATGAATATGATTATGTGTTTGATATGATTTTGTGTGCCATTATGTGAAAATATGTGATTTTAAATTTCTATCTGTTCACCGTAGGAATATCTGTTTGATTGTCTGCTATGGAAATTAAATTGAAGGCCTTATCGGCCACGGAACCCGAAATTGATTACGCCATTGTGATTAGCGTAATTTTTAGAGCCTATGGTGAAATTTAATTGAAAATTGATTCGAATCAAATTAATTAGATTAAATTAGTGTCCTAGTGCTCAATTAATTGGTATTAAAATAATGTGTTTGAGTGGGGCCATATAAAAGGACTTATTATGTTTAATTCCTCTCTTTAGTATGATTTTGGCTTAAATCAACTCTCTAAAGAAAGAGAGAGCCGACCTTGAGAGAGAGAGAAGGCACCTTTGTGTATTTTGGCTCAAGATTTGTGAATTGGGAAGGCTAGGTGCAAGTTTTAACCACCATTGTGAGAATTAAGGCTCCTAGGTGAGTAACCAACTCTTGACTCATGGATTTTAGTTTGAAATTTGTGAATTCAAAGTTGAATGTTGATAAAGAACATGTATTGAGTTGGTTTTGTTGAGTTTGAAGTCATGGAGTGCATGCATGTGTATAATTGCCATGAATTTGTATAGTTGAGCATGAAAAATATGATCCATGTAGAATTGTGGCTAGAATCCATACTTGTGACCACCATTTGTACAATTTGAGTTGAAATGGAAGTTATATCTCACATGCATGAACCATTCATGAGAAGTATGAGCTTGAATGCATGAAATAGTTATGTTGAAAGTGAATTTGGTGTAGATTGGGACATGCATGTGATTAATTTGTGAAATTGAGCTCCATTGTGTTGTAATTTGGTGTTGGTACCATGTTAGTATATGATTATGTGAAGCTTGAGCCAAAAGCATGCGTCTAGAACCATTGAATGTCGAATTGGAGCTCAAGAACATGTTCTGGAACACCCAGAAAATTCGATGTCCGCTCGAGCGAGGAAACCGCCGCTTAAGCGTGAATTTCGTGTTCCCAGTATTTTTGCAGACTTGGATGTCTGCTCGAGTGGGGAAGTTCACGCTCGAGCGGGGAGCTATGTAGACAGACCTTCAGCTCGAGCACCAGACTTCACGCTCGAGCGTAATTTCGATGCATCCAGCACTTTTGCAGACCTCACGGGTCCGCTCGAGCGGGGAAGTCCACGCTCAAGCGGGGACCCTGTTTTCTGAAATTTTGAAAAGGGATTCTCAGTTTCGTTTTCCGTCCTCTTTCACTTCTTAGTACTCTTAGGCATGCATTGAGCATTGTAATTGAGTTAAAGAAATAAGAATGAAACCTAAAGAGGAAAATGTGAATTTAGAACAGATTGAATTGTTTGTGACCCTTTTGTGTTCATGGAATGTTTAGGGTCGAGCTCCAGGGCAAACCAACCAACCGATCACTATGAGTAATATCTCAACAAAGATATCTGAAATATGTTGTTGTCCAAATTACTTACTTCTATGTAAGTTTTATAAGTTCGTTGATTCGATTGGTGGACAATGTTGCTATGCCAAATGAGTGGGCCAAAGGCCGTTTTGACATGAATGAATGGGCCAGAGGCCATTTTGACACGAATGAATGAATAGGCTAGAGGCCGTATCGACATAAATAAATGAATGGGCCAGAGGCCATTTCAACAAGAATAAATGAATGGGCCAAAGGCCAGTTTGATACGAATAAAGGAATGGGCCAAAGGCCAGTTTGACATAAATGAAAATATGGATTGGGCCCAAGGCCGTTTGAAGCATGTTGTACTACATACCGTTTGTATAACTCCTTTAGTCGATATTATTCACTGAGTTTTTGCTCACGCTCATTTATGTGTTTTTAGGTGAGCCAAGAGAAGTCCAAACCCAGCCCCGGTGAAGTCTGTGAGGAACAACAAAGGTTTTGAAAAGTCATCCCTTGCGTCTCACGCACGAGACCCATCTTCGCCTTTTTGTCATTCTGTTTTATTTTGTCATGTGGGCAAAGTCTTTGAACATGTTGTATATAGTTTTCTTGGGTTGACTTAGATTTATATGATCTTGTATGTACAGAACCTTGTGTAGTACATATTTTGTTGTGAGTTATAAATATGCATATGTATGGTTTGTTATGATATGCCATGTAAGCACAGCTCTATAGACAATGTTTTTAACTGCTTCCGTTTGGCCCCCATTAGCTCTGTTAACATACATTTGGTTTGGTTTGAGGCCGTAGGTAATCTCATGATTACTGGCCGATTATGTCCTCAACCCACGGGGGTGAGTTCGGGTCATGACAATCAGTAATGGAGGTTGAATGCTATGGCTTTGGCTCTTTCTATGAATGTTTGATTGTTTGGCTAATTGGAAGTTTTTGCTGGATGGAGTTAATGGCAGCAGGGTCCTTGGTGTGTTTCTTGGGTGATGTTGCTACAAAAGTGATGTTGCTGCAGAAGTGTTGCTACTATAGAGGTTTATTGTTGCTACTGCTGATGATGTATAAGATTGTTTAGCTATTCTATTTTTTTCTTACAGTGCTTTTGATTGGTTTCTCACCAATCTTGGGTCAAATGTTGGCATATGATTGTACTTCCTTTGTGGTGCCTACCTAGTTAGGATCGTTGAGGTTAGCTATGATGCTTTGCATTTCCCTACTTTGTTGATGTAATTTTGCATGTATTGTGTTTTTTTCATCAATAAAGCTTTCGTTTTTTTTTGCTGATAAAAAAAAAAAAGATTATATGTTGTTTTGCAAAAAATTGTAATTCAATCTTAATTAACTGTGTTTTTTAAACAAAAAATGATTGTATTTTTTAACTATCAGTTAATTTAATTTGTGACCGAGTTTTTGGACACTCCATTTTGATTACATGATGAGAAAGCATTTTTAAAAACTTATTTTGTTAATTAGCTTAAAAGCTTTTTTTTTTTTTCATTTTCATTTAAAAATTTATTTTGTTTATTTTGATGAGGTGCTATTTTTTTCAAACTTATTTTAAATACATAAATTTGAAAAAATAAGCTTATTTTAAATACATAAATTTGAAAAAATGAAAAAAATACATAAATTTTTACAATTACATTTGGTGAGGTGCTATTTTTTCTTTTTTGAATTTTTAAATGTTAATCTCATTGTTAATAGTGTTAAACACTTTTTTTTTTAAACCCTTTTTTTTTTTTTTTTTTTTGAATGTGATCAAGTAACAATTCAAATACTTCTCATTTAATTTGAATGTTGAGAAGAAAAATATAATAAAGAAGGATTAGGATCTCGAGATTGATTTCTAATGAATGATTTTTTTTTTTTAATTTTTTATGTGATTAATTAGTTATTAAATAATATTTTTTACAATGATGGATGAAGGGAGCCATTGCCCCTTAATAGCGACCCCCTGAAAAAGACAAATTTTATATCAAAGTATATGCAATAATGAATATTTCCTCATAATGAATATTTCCACCGTTTAATTTGTTAGTCCATTATTTTATTTTGATATGTCTAAAATGATAGTCTCATTTAAAAAGTTAAAGTAAAAAATATTTTAATTTTTCAAAATTACTCCTTTTAATTAATTATAAATATATTAAAAATGAAGGAGAAATATAGACTAGAGGGAACTGTTTGGGTTCATGGAGCCCATCACAAGTATCGTTTCGATGATCTGAATCGCTCAATTTACTGAGCACTTTGTGGATTTCATTCATAAAAAAAATTAAATCGATCTGATAACTACTTGTATAATTTACCGTGTTTTTCACTAAAAAAAATGGACAACAATTATGTTTTAAAAAAATGAACCATATATTTTTTTATGACAAAAATAATAAATTGAATAAATTACAGTTATGGAATATACCTAATTTTTTCTTTTTGTGAATGAAATATACGAAATGCCCGACAAATTAAACAATTCAGATTATCGAAATGAAACTTGTCAAGATCATTGATCCCATGAGTCCAAACAGCCCTTCTAATTCATATTTTAAATCAGAAGAAATTGTCTTCCATTAAAAGATAGGGACATTAATAAAAAAAATATATATTTTAAAATTTAAATTTCAATATAATGATCGTATCTCCCTTAAAAATGTTGGAACCAACAATATTGGGATGGATGGTGTATATAATTAAAGCCACAGTTAACCAAATTCTAGATACATACATAAAAGCTTCTCCATTGTGTTCATTGCACACAAATAACAGAGAGGAAAAAAAGAGGAAAAAAAAGAGATGGGGAAGCTGCTCTCTGCAATTCTGATTCTATGTTCAATGGTGATTTCCGTGCCGGCGATTCACGGCATCGCCGAAGATCCAAAATCGGTAGAAAAGTGGCTCGACAACCTAACCCATTCAAAACAAAAGCTAACAAAGCTTCACTTCTACTTCCACGACATTGAAAGCGGAAACAGCACAACTTCCATTCAAATCGCTCGAGCACCCAACAATAACAGCACATCCACAGCTGCTTTCGGTGGAATCAACATATTCGATAACGCAATGACAGTAGGGCCGAACATCACTTCCAAGCTGCTCGGCCGAGCTCAGGGTCTATTCGCTGCTTCTTCGCTCGGACCACAGAGTCTACTCATTACTATGAACTTGTTTTTCACAGAAGGAGAGTTTAATGGTAGCACTCTCGCGATCGTTGGTGGTGACCCAATATTAGATCAGTACCGTGAGATGTCTGTCGTAGGTGGTTCAGGTGAGTTTCGACTCGCACGAGGAATCGCAACCGCCAAGACTGTTGCAAACAATCCTGCGACGAACACCGCTGTTCTTGAGTTCCATGTTGTAGTTATTCATTATTAAGCTGTCTTCGATTGAGTGACCAACCATGTTTGTGATTTTCAGTTTACGGTGTTGTGTTATTTTCACATAATTTTTTTCACAGAGAGACTATGATCGAATGAGTCTCACTTTTATCAATTTTCAATATTGGGCTGCGATTGAAATCCTTTTTTGTTTTTAATAGCTATTTTCAATAATAAATGATTAATAGTTCTTGGGGGCATCTACCATACACACCCCTGATTATTGTATCGTTAAAAATGACACATTGTAATGTTATTACTGACAATGATTTTTTTAATTTGTTTTTGACTTTTTTAATTTTTTTAACCTGAGACTTTTTTAGTTGTTTGGTATTTTTGTTTGGCTTTTTTAGTTTTGGAATAGTGTATTTTTTTATTTTTTTTTGTCTTTTTGTTTATTTTGTTCTTTTGTGATTTTTTGACTTTTTTTGGTCCTTTTGTGATTTTTTAGTCCAAAATGTTTACCAAACAATCCCTTATGATATTATTTTAAGTATAATTTAAGAATTATTTGATTATACATTTTAGTTATAACTTAATTTTTTTTTAGTTATAATTATCATATTAAGTTATGCCATTTATGATAACCAATCTTACAAATAGCGTAACTTGTGTATGTGCCATAGTATTGCTCATAATTTGTATTCTATTACTTTAATGAGATAAATGGATATTTTTATTTAATTGTTTATACTTTTCTATTCTTTGTTAGAATTTCTTCCCATATTGCAAGGTAAAATCAGAATGAAATATACTATTATGTAATCTTGAACTAATTTGGAAGTTATAAAAAGATGGTTATTAGATATTACTGTTATTTGTATTACTAGGTACATGACAAGAAATTATGTAATTTGGTGATACAAAATGGTAATTAAAAAATAGTGATACATATAATTTCACTACTAAAAATAAGACTTAATTGTTCAAATTGAAAGGTAATAGGACTAAATGATAATTTGGGGAAAAAAAGTGATACTTATTAATTTTTTCCAAAACAAAAATTGTGCAGCTAGACTTCTTATTTTTTCTTCTTCATCTTTTTTTTTCCTCTCAGTTCCTATATTTCTTGTCTTTTGTTTACTACAGACTTTCCCTTAATTTTAATTTCTTGAATCTTTTTTCCTGGACTTTGTGGGTGATTCTCGTGTTCTGTAATATGTTGTCTGTATATAAGACAACTATCCTGGCTTGCTAAGAACTCAAAATAATAACAACAAAAACAATTAAAGCAAAATAATACTGACTTTTTCAACCACCCAAGTTTGTGCATATTTATCCAAAAAAGATTACATATTTGAACTCAATACACAAAAAAAAATAATACGGGGTGTTTTGAGAAGTTAGTAAAAAAATAATTTTTTGATTTTTTAGCTTATTTTGTCTTTTTGTAAATAAGTTATGTGAGAGATGATGTGACTCAAAATAGATAAAAAGTTGGAATCCGACTTTTTACAGCTTCCCAAAAGACTCCTATATGATCTAATTTCAACAATTAAGAAGTGATATAAAAAGATGATAATATATCTTATATTTTTATTAATTTTAAAAAAAATTAATTATTAGTTGATCTTTTTTATAAAGCTGGTTATTTAAAAATGAATTGCTTTCGCTACAATCATGGAGTTGGAACAGGTGAAGGGAAATTATGGTAAAATAGACAGAGAGTGACTGATCATCGGTGTTTGCGTGCAGTCTGTGCGAGTACATAGTTACTTTCTCTACCTCGTAATTTTCTCAACATTTTTTTCTCTTTTTTGCATAATATTGCTTAATAGAGACTTAACCACAACGAACTAAAGTAGAAAAAATATATGTGAAAAAAAAGTTCGAAATATAATTATATTTTATTTATATTTTTTTGTTTATATTTTTAAATTTCTATTCAAATTTGTGAACTAAATATGATTTTAAAGCAATTATAGCGTGGCTATTCACTACAACATATTAGAGTTTTAAAACTTAAATATTTTAGTCTCTAAAAGTAGAAATTTTGTTACAAAAAATATTTAGAGATCATTTTCTATCATCGTGAGGATAGTTGCTAAAACGTCGTCTCAAAAATTCAAAAATAAGACTTTTAGCGACAAAAATTTGAAAATGTCACTAATAAATAGACTTTTATGGACAAAATAATTTGTTCTCAAAATGATTTATTTTTTGAGACAAAAAAAATTGATTCTAAATAGATAACAATATGATCACTTATGTCTAATTTTCATTACTAAAAATATAATAACGATATTTTTCGTAACAAAAATATTTGGTTCTTAAAAATTAATTTTATCCTTAAATTTTGATTTTCAAAACTTTAATTTTTTGTAGTGATCATTGAATATGTATGGGATGAGATGGAATGAAATAATTTTATTTATAATGATAATTAATAATTTTATTTATAATATATTTTTTATAAATTAAATATTAAAATAAACATAATGATAAATTAGTTCTTTTTCATTGAATAAAGTATAATAAACGGGGCTTGCCAGTGGTGGGAACCTCTTTAGACACAATCATCGCAAAAAGTTGGTCCCTTCGAAATATTGGAACAGCCCACTCACTCACTTTGATGGCAGAAAGTTGGTTCCTTACTGCAACTTGGTTAAAATTTGTTAAAGTGTGTTATATTTTTCTAAAAAAATAAAAAATAAAAAATAAATTTTGAGTATTATTTTGTATGTTAAGTGTTTTTTAGTTTTAAAAGTGAGGGTATGTTTTTATAATATAGTTAAAGTATATGTTAAAATCTTTGTTATGCAAGTAAGACTTATTTTAGGTGTGCTTTACATATATTGTGTTTTGGTTTGTTCAAAAATCCGTTCAAATCGGTAATTCAGACCGAATTAGATTGAATCGTACGGTTTGGTTCGATTCTATTAAAAATTGGTTCGGTTTCGATTTAAGAAATATGAGAACCGTAAAAACGGTTCAGTTAATGAATTTTATGAAAAAATTACAGTTCGAACCGAATTGAACCGACTTTTAAAACATATATATATATATATAATATCAAGTTTTATTTTTATTAATTGATTTTTTATAATTTTAATGATATTAGGATAATATAGATATGTAATGGCCCCGTTTGGTGTAGCTATTAAAAAAGCTTATAGATTATACCTTAACAGATTATAGATTATGGCTTTAATCAGAAGTTGTTAATCTGTTTGGTGTAACTGTTAGATTATGAATTTAAGTTGCTGAGTAGTGTTTGTTAAATATTTGGTCTCTAAAAGTGAAAATTTTGTTACAAAAGATATTTAGGGACCGATTTCTATCATCGTGAGGATAGTCGCTAAAAGGTTATCCCGAAAAGTAAAAAACAAGACTTTTAACAACAAAATTTTGAAAATGTCACTAATAAATAGACTTTTATGGACAAAAGAATTTGGTCTCAAAATGGTTGATTTTTTTAGACAAAAAATTTGGTTCCAAATAGATAATATTTCATTACTTATGTCAAATTTTCGTTGCTAAAAATATAATAACGATATTTTTTGTAACAAAATTATTTGGTTTTTAAAAAATAATTGTCCTTAAATTTTGGTTTCCAAAATTTTAATTTTTTGTAGTGATCATTGAATATGTATGGGATGAGATGGAATGAAATAAATTTTTTTATAATGATAAGTAATAATTTTATTTATAACATATTTTTTATAAATTAAATATTAAAATAAACATAATGATAGAAAATTAGTTCTTCTTTTTCATTGAATAAAGTACAATAAACGGGGCTTGCCAGTGGTGGGAACCTCATTAGACACAATCATGGCAAAAAGTTGGTCCCTTCGAAATATTGGAACAGCCCACTAACTTTGATGGCAGAAAGTTGGTTCCTTACTGCAACTTGGTTAAAATTTGTTAAAGTGTGTTATATTTTTCTAAAAAATAAAAAATAAAAAATAAATTTTGAGTATTATTTTGTATGTTAAGTGTTTTTTAGTTTTAAAAGTGAGGGTATGTTTTTATAATATAGTTAAAGTATATGTTAAAATCTTTGTTATGCAAGTAAGATTTATTTTAGGTGCGCTTTACATATTGTGTGTTTAGGCCTGTTCAAAAATTCGTTCAAATTGGTAATTCAGATTAAACTAGATTGAATCGTACGGTTTGGTTCGATTTTATTAAAAATTAGTTCGGTTTCGGTGTAAGAAATATGAGAACCGTAAAAACGGTTCGGTTAATGGATTTTATGAAAAAATTACAGTTCGAACCGAATTGAACCGACTTTTAAAAAAAATATATATAATATCAAGTTTTATTTTTATTAATTGATTTTTTATAATTTTAATGATTTTAGGATAATTTTAATGTTCAGTAATGCCTTAATATTATTAGTTTTTATCATGAGTTAAATGTAATTAGTTTGAATAATTATTTTGCTAATATTAATAATTTATTCTTATAAATAGAAATTATTGGAACCGTGAATCAAATCAAAACCGAATCGTTATTTTGATTTGGTTCTGATTCGATTTTACAAGTGTAATTGTCTGATTTGATTCTCAAAATCACCGAACCATTAAAATCAATTCAATTTTTAAATTTTCTCAAAATCAAATCAATCCGAACCATCCAGACCATGTTGTGTTATTTATATCTACTTTAAATGTGTGTTTATATCTAAAGACAAAAATTAATTAAAAATATGCAGCCCCACCACACTCTGCATGACTTGACAAATAAACACACCTAGCCCATTAACGAAAAAACAAAAAACGTTGGCTATCTCTCTGTATAAAGCCGACACTAATGGGCTCATTGGTGGCCCATTAGAGATGCTCCCCACATAGAGGATGCTTTTAGTGTGTGTGCTGAGGGACTCAAATGAGTTGAAGAGTGGTTCCAGAATCTCAACCGTATGGAACAGGTGACCAAGCTTCCACTTCTACTTCACTTCCTAAATGTTGGGCCTAAACTCTCCTATAAGGGGATTCTATTTAAATTTAAAATGTATCTTAAGTTTCATTTGGTATTTGGTTGATATAATCA